CACCATGGGCGGATGGCACAGCGTCTATCTCACAGTGTGCTATTAATCCAGGAGACACATTTTCATACAGGTTCCAAGTTGACAAGGTAAATTCACAAATTGTGTGAATATTTTTTTTATCTTATTAATTTTGTTTAGTAAATTCAGTTTGAACTACAAATTAAAGCATTTAAATTGTGCAAAACACATTTATAGGCATGTACGCAAAGGTTCGGGCCCCGAGATATTTCTTTGAGCAGAATTTAGAATTTATTGAAAAAATTAAACGAGGTGACAATTTTAGTTGGGATAAAACATCAATTTTTTGTTCGGTTAAAAGTTCAGAATTTATTAGGAAAATTGAACCGAACCGATCGTTAAATTTTCGGTTAAAAATTGAACCGAATCGAACCGTAAATTCCGGTACGGTTTTTTGTTATGGTAATAGACACCGAGTTTTCAATTAAACGAAAATTCAGTCGGTTCAATTCGATTTTGACCTAATTGAACAGCCCTACCATCATCACTAAGGTTCAGTGGGGAACAAACAAAATGGGTGGCTAGTTGAAAATTATTTTGATCTATCACCTGTGTATAGTAATTATTGGATATTTGTACCAAAAAAAAAATAAATATATATATATATATAGTAATTATTGGATATCTTTTATCAATTCATGGCCCACCACATTGCACAATATTTGTAATTTTGGATTAATATTAATACATAAGATTAATGCATAAAAGAAAATCGAGAACACAGTATTTAACATGTTTGGAAGATATATGGTGTAGCCGGGTACATACTTTTACCATGGACACTACGGGATGCAAAGATCGGCGGGCTTGTACGGCATGCTGATAGTTGACGTGGCACAAGAAGAGAAGGAAATATTACAATACGATGGGGAGTTCCACGTGTTGCTCAGTGATTGGTGGCACAAGTCAACGCATGAACAAGAGGTTGACCTTTCATCAAGGCCCATGCTTTGGATTGGCGAGCCACAGGTGGGTTATTATTCTTTCTTAATTCTCCTTAATTAATTTTCATTAATTAAACACTAAATGAGAAATGTTAATATGAGGAGATGTTAACCATTCTGTCGTGATTTATAACTGTTAGATCAACTATTCTCGGCGGTTACATGATGATCTAACGGTTACAAACCCCGATATAATTGTTCCGTAACGAGTCCGTAGAATTTCCCGTTAATATGATTTTCTAATATAATTTTTTATGATTATTCAAACGCTAATAAACAATTAGAAATTTCAGATTAATTATGTATCCCCTTTTGTGTTATAAAATAAAATGTTTTCTATACCGATTTCTCAAATTTATTTATATTTTCGTGCTAGACCTTGTTGATTAATGGGAGAGGGCACCACAGTTGCTCCATGGCGGCGCATGTTAGCAATACGTCCGCAAGCGCGTGCACGTTAACAGGCACTGAACAGTACGCGCCCGACATCCTCCGCGTCCAGCCAAACAAGACCTACAGGCTCAGGATAGCAAGCACCACTTCGTTGTCTGCACTAAACTTCGCCGTTGGGGTAACAAAAATTTAACTTCTTTATTCAAAATAAATGTCTTACTCATAAAATGCCTAATTTTTTTTTTTCACCGTAATATATAATTTAATTATCTATGCTTAATATATATTAAAACTCATTTTAAGTGGATATATTTGTAACTAAACACTGCCTAATTAAGTATAATTAACATTCAAAGCAAGACGCTTTAGTGTGTGCTTTGATATAAGAAATCCAAACAATTTTTAATCAGTTTTCACTAATACCTTTTTTTTTTCTAAAAAACGTAAAATTTAACTCAATCTTACTATGCTCAGTATTATCAATATAATTAAATAATATACATCAAATATTTACATCATCAATTTAAATTTACTATTTATCTACTTACATTTATTTAACTACTCGTATCTTTCAATTAGTTTTCTCATACTTTTATATCAAATCAATTTTAATTATTGTTTTAATATATTTTTAATACAACCACAAAATTTCACTCAAACATAACTCAACCTATTTTTTTAAAATTAATTATGATTAAAAAAACAAAAATCAAAATATTTAATCACATACTTGTAACCAAGCACACACCCCTTAATATAAGAGATCAATATTTTTTTTCCTGTAATTTCTTTTTAGTAGTGGAAGTTTGCTGTGGTTCATATGGTTATATTGTAATTAATCTTTAAATCATTTTCAGTCATGTCATAATAAAATAAAAGTATATGACTAGCACTTTTGCCAAGGCCTTCACATATATAAAAGCACATAATAATTCACACACACACACACACACACAAACATATACACATATATCAAAAATTTCATAGAACCATCGAATACTTTTTTTATAAAGTCATCAATCACCTAATGTATTAACACATTTCTCAAGTGTATTTATTGTAGGACACGTGTCAATATATTATTTGTGAATAACTATGAATGATTCAATAAGTCGAGCTATCCGATGACTCCATAGCAATACTAACACATATATGTAATAGTGTTAAAGTTATGCATAAAGTATGATAAACATGATAAAAGAAAAAGATGCATGTTTTATATCAGTAT